AAAAAAAAAAAAAAAAAAAAATTGGGATGCAGACCAGTTAAAGGAAGGAAGTGGCTTCTTTCTCAATTTACCACTTTTTTCACTTTTACCTGCTAATTTAATAAAGTTCTTAAAACCTATGTAGCCAGGTAATCATGCACATTCAATCCATCAGCTCTGCTGGTACAGGGTGCTAACACACTATAGAAAGTATTTATATTTCAGAGGGCTAGATCTGATGTGAAAAATAATACAAGACTTGGCACATTCAAGAGTGTGCCAACTGTTCAATTTTTCAACAGAAATTATCTTTTTATTGACTGTAACAGTTCTTCTGAGACCAATTCTTTAAGCAAAGATACTAAACCAGGATCTGCTTATCCTTTTGACCTTAAGTTTAGCAAACAGAGTTGAATAGGACATAGCATAAGGGGACACTGGTTGAAAATGAAAGTGTTTTTCCAATTGCTCCATTATGCAACAGAATCAAACTTATTCTTTCATATCTCTGGGAATTTTTTTAAAACAACACACTTTATGTCCCTAAAATTAAAAAGTTTGTTTCTGAAACGCTTTGATTTCCTGAAGGAGAGGAAAACAATGAGATTGGGAAAATGACAAAGCTAGTCAGTCTCTTAAGCATGGGTTTTTCATGTCATTAACTTTTTCTATCTAAAGATGGACACATAAGCTTCAGCTAATCACTCCGGGTCTCGTTACATTTTAGCACATGGATAGAAACTGGTACCTCCTGAAGGTAATTTATGTGACCTAGCTTAGAGAATTTGCAGAGCAAGAGAAGAAACTCTACTTGGAAATGCCTCACTACTGTCTGATGTTTGTAAAATGAGCCTCCCATGGCTGGGACATGGCCATCTAAATGTTATATACCAAGGCTGGGACAGATAAATCACACTCACAAAGATGCCAGCGTTGCTGTCAGGCTGAGTATATTTTCTCAGTCTACAAGCCAAGGAATGAGGTTGCTATAGTAATGACAACAATCGGAGTCAACTTTGATGAGAGACTGCCCTTACTCAGACAAGACAACTAAAAGCAACGCATTAACACTTGGCTTCACATAGTCAGTTTGCTATAAATTTTAACTCTATGTTAACAGAATCCTTTTTCTAACGGAGAAAATATTACCTTAGAAACATGCAAAAGATGACTTCACAGACAGAATAGACTAGCTCATCTAATCATAATTTGGGCTGTGTGAAGACATAGTAGAATCAGAAAAAGTTCAGAAGGCCACAAGAAACCACTTTCAAGAAATTGAGCAGTTTTCCTCTGAGAGGCGACTAGAACCATTCAGCTACGAAGGGAGACAAATGATGGCATACAACAGAAGACAAAAAATTTTTCGATGATAAGGATATGAATAAGGAATATTTATTTATTACTTTTCATAAAATGTACGAGGCAACACCCAGTAAAATTATAAGGTAGCAGTTTTAAGCAAACAAAAGAAAAAATTATTTCATAAAGTGAATAACTAAATTGTGGAACTCATTGCCACAGGATGTTGTGGAGACCAAAAGAATAAAAGGGTTCAAAAAAGGTTTGCATAAATTCATGGAAGATTAGTTCATCAAGGGCTAATAAACTTAATGGTTCAGATACAATTGCCAGCTTAGGAAGTCTCTGAATTACTGACTATTGGAAACATGGAGAACATACCAGCAGAATAATTGCTTTATCACCACCTAATTTCTTAGGCAGCTTCCTTCAGCAGCCACTGTTTTCCACTGGCCAAGAAAGGATATTAGATGGACCTTTGTCCTGACCCTATATGGATAGTCTTATGGAACCAAGGGGCAATAAAATGCATATATCTCAGATACTCATCAGAACAAAACGCTTCATTTATCTCAGGACTGGTGTGGACTACAGCAATAGCCACTGGGATAAAGTAGAGTTGTGGAGACAGGGGGAAGAAAAGGAAGATGCTGTTTTCTGTATCTGACAGGTAAAATATGGCCATCCTAGTTACTTTCTGTCACAGAAAATCATAATATTCCTTAATTATTTTCTTGGCTTTTCATAGTTTTTTTAAAGTGGTGGTTTAGGAAGTTGAAATCTAGTCTAAACTTTGACTACGCTTACTGAGTCACAGGCTAAGTTTATTGATAAACACTTTTATTCTTGTCCTGATACTATTTGACTTAATTTGGTCGCTCTTGTTTATTTACCCTGCCATACTTCCATATTTTAGACAATAGTCATGTCCCCTCTCAAAATTTGTTTTTTTAGGCTAGAAAAGATAATCACTTTTGTTCTTCTTTTGTAAGATTCCAGATTTATAAGATTAAAACTCCTCCCAGTTTTAACGAGTGAGCCCAATTATTTCAGTGAGGATACATCAGTGTCTTGTACAATCTATTAATATTTCTTCACCTCCTAAAACTACTTATGCTGTTATGCTTATTCGCAACTCCTTATCCTGGCATTTACAACTCATGAACCCTCGTACAACAGCAGTGAATAATCTATTTGCACGATCTTGTACGTCATGCAGCTAAAAGTAGTTCTTTTTTTTATTATCCTCATCCTGAAGGCCAACTCTTTTTGTACAACACTATTCTTTCTCTGGACAGTGCCTTCCAACTTCGAGTCATCAGTACATTTCAGGAGCATACTCCTCCTTCTTTCTAACATTACTGAAGGGAATATTAACTATATTTAATGCTAGACTGATCACTGATGAACTCTATCAGTAATCTTTCCCATACTGATAGCTCCTTTTTCAGAACATCGGATTTTAGTCTCCCATCTGTTCCATTCCTTTATTGACTTTACACTTTTTAAATGAACTCTCACTTTCACTTCAGAAAATGATTTCTCATGTGGTACAACATCAAAGGTAAAAAACAAAAAACCTCTCTCA